CCCCGAAGCTGAGGAACTAGATGACAAAAGGTCAGGGTTCGAGGCCAAAGAAATTGGGTCATGAGAGTTTGGGATGGAAGTCAGGGCTCTGGGTAACAAGCCCAGGGTGCCCTTAGAAGAACAGAGCTTAATGTTCTATCAGCTTCCTTCCAAACCAGGCTCCTCATTTAAGTTGTGCCTAAGGGCCAAGTGGCAGAGTGGGGCCCAGGCCTGTTACCCATTAGGGTAAGGGAGAGAAGCTGACAGGAAGAGAGCCATTGTCTTTTTCTTTCTTCTACCTACCCCATGCCAAGTACACAACAGGTACTTGATTGATGTTTCTCAAGTCACAGAGTAAATGAATCAATGAACAAGCGGATGATATCTGTACACAGCTCACTGTACTCTGGACCTAAGTTCTTTAATTTCAGACACGTCTACTCATAGTAACCATGGCACTAGAGCAACAGGCCAATTCTTTTTTCTTTCTCCAAGAGAGGAAATGGAAGCTATTATGGAGGGTCTACAAGAAAGTGGGCCTAATGTTCCTCAAGTGTGACACTAATTAAAAGGCATGACATGATGCTGCCATCTGGCACACAGCATCAAATCTACTAAATGAGGTCCTCTCCACAAAGAGAGACAAGGACTTAGCTTTTGGGATAGCCCAAGAAAGCCACGAATAAAGACATCTTTTCTTAGAGACTCTGCCCAGCTTCAACACTTAGATTTCAATAAACATAGGATCAGCCTTAGGGCTAAGAGCAGGGGGAAGACAAAAAATACCAGACAGGGTTGAAAAGGGCCTCAGAAACGGAGGCCCAAAGGGGTGACTTCCCCATGGTCAATGGTAATCTGGATCAGCACCTGGTCTCTTGCCTCTCAGCCTATTTCAATTCCACATCATCCATCATTGTCTTTCTTTCCTTCACGAAAAAGGATAGGGCTAATATTTCATATCTCCATAGTCAAAGGCAGCAGCAGCCATAGAGGACACGATGGGTCCGTTCATGATGAGCATCTCTAATGCAGACCTTCTCCACTTCGTTTTAAACCTACTCTGTTAAAAGAAATCTATGAGCCAAAGTAAAGCAAAAAGGGAGGAGAACACAGGCAGACACATGGATCAGTTAGGCCATGCAAAGTTTGAAAGATTTCTGAATTCTTCTAGGTGACTGACTACATATTCACATCACTTTCTAGTCACAGAGATGATCTTGCCTCAAGTGCTAGTTGTACCTGTTGCCCGAGTTCATTGTTTTTCTGGTGTTGTCTGATAGTTGCTTACTTCTCTCAGAAAGGAGACGCTGGGCTTTCTCTCAAGATCATGGTTGTGACAAGAGCCTGTAACAAGCCTCTGGAGATTTGATGCCTAAGTGTAAAGCCATTTCCAACCACAGCTCCCATGTAACTGACTGCAGATATATACTTGTTCTGGGAATAATCCTCCATAAGGGCTCACCACGTGTCACAAATTCTTGAAGGCAAATGGGATGCCTTCCTGACCAGAGAGATGAAGTTACAATGGGAACGCCCCAAGCCAATCACTGCCAGCCACCAAAGTTCTCCACAGTTCTGGGTGGAGAGACAAGGAGAAAAGAATACTTCAGGATATTCATAAGAAGGGAAGGATTCTGAGATTTAGGTCTGTGGGCCAGAATCAGAAAGTGACAAAAACCCAATATTACAATAGTGGTTTACAATATTACACATGCAATATTGTACCAAGTCATGTAAAAAAAAAAAAAAGAAAAAGAAAAAAAAAGAGCTACAGCTAAACCGAAAAGCCCACAGGCAGGGTATCAGGGAGGGAAAATATCTGATTCAGAGATTCCATCAGCATAACTGTTAATGATGTGGTCTCCTTTATTGTCATGCAACCAACCTTAAGAAAAGCATTTTTCATTTGAATTTATATAAGTGCTTACTGAATACCTCCTATAGATAGAAATTATGTTTGTTGACATGGGGTTAGGCAGGGTGGTGATAGAGCCTAAAAGATGATTCATCCCTCAGTTTATAACTGCACTAGAAAGAAAGAATACAACAGAAGCAGAAGTAAGGCAGCAATACAAGACAGCATGTAAGTAAGCACAGAAAACAACTAACTATACCTTGGTTGTCTTCAAAAAGAGGTTGTTAAATTCCCTCTTTTGACTTTGGCCCTTGGATGAATCAATCTGCCCAATGCAATCTAACTCCATTTCACAGAGTTTTGCATCACTTTGTGGTTTCATTCCCAAGGTGGGGTGGCGGCAGCCAGGGTCTTTATGATGTATCTAGCTTTATTAGGCACACAGCAAAGGTGGGACTTGCGGAATGCCTGGTGGGTATAAGGAACACAGACCACCACCCAGCTGGGTGTCGACAGAGTCCAGAGTGAGATCTGGCTGGATTTCCCTACTGTGCTGGGGGTAGCAGTGCTAGAGGGCTTGGAAGCCCTGTCAGGATATGTACAATCTAAAGTGGACAGGGGCTCCTGGGTGGCTCGGTTGGCTAAGTGCCTGACTTTGGCTCACGTCATGATCTCACGGTTCGTGAGTTCGAGTCCCACGTCGGTCGCTGTGCTGACAGCTCGGAGACTGAAGTCTGTTTCAGATTCTGTGTCTCCCTCTCTCTGTTCTTCCCCCGCTCATACTCTGTCTCTCTCTCTCTCAAAAATAAATAAAACATTAAAAAAAACAAAGTGGACACATCTCCCTGGGTGCCAAGAGCCATCAGAAGTCCTCGGGGAAGCAAATGAGAGAAGGAGAAATGAAAATCAAAGTCACAAGGGATGCCAAATGCTCAGTGGTAGGTACATGGCCAGCGGTATCAAGGTCTCTAAGGCAGGTGTGGGGGTGGCAGGGAGGCTCAAGATGCTTCTGATCCTTTCTCCTAAGAAACCAGAGTAGAGATGATAAAAACCCAGAACTAAAGCTTGATTTCCTAAGGGCTTACTTAAAAGGTTAAGTGGTGGAGATTCAAGAATGAAAGCTCTGCTTTTCAAAGGAGTTACCATACTGTTAGGATCACAGCATATCTGAAGCCAAAGATATGAGCCTCTACAGGCAAAGAAATAATACTGAGGTTAAGTGTTGAAACATGATTTGAAGGGTTATTTTATAATCCAAGTAAATAAGGTCACATCTAAATACTGGAAAATACTTACGTAACAGCTTTACAAGATTGAATAAATATTACCTATCATAGGATGCTTGATCATAAGTCTAAGACCTACTGGGTTATTATTCACATTCTTAATAAGTAATGCAAAGGATACATTTCATGCATAATAAAGCCATCAAATAGACATAAAATATAATCCTTCAGTGATAATTCTAAAGGGCAAGACAAGCATTTCACTTTACAATTTAACCTTATTAATTCAATAGTCAAAGATCAAAAAAATAGGTGTAGAAATTAAACACATTTGGGTCATCCACTGTTATGTGTACTAAGGACCAATAAAGTATTTAGTCAATGCACCTGATACTTGAGGGCATACTCAGTTACTTCATCCTGGGTGGTGAACATGTCTAAAAGGGACGCATTGCTTTTTTGGGCCCCAGGAAAAGGGTGACCCACTACATCTGGGAGTCCCTGTCATTTCCCACCCTGGGTGTCATTCCCAGGGTGCCCTTCTCTTCTCAGGACCTACCTGGGTAATGCACACTGGACTCCCTACTCCCAGCACCCAGATTTCTTTGGAATCCAGAGAATTAACAACCTAACTGTCCCCTCCCCAAAGTAGCCTTGAGCAGTGACCAGTGGGAGCTGGCATACATTGTCTCAGCTCCCTTACCCCTTGGGTGGGAAAACTCTCATATACAATTTTTTTTTTAATCTTTATTTAGTTTTGAGGGAGAGGGAGAGACAGAGCGTGAACAGGGGAGGGGCAGAGAGAGAGAGGGAGACACAGAATCTGAAGCAGGATTCAGGCTTTGAGCTGTCAACACAGAGCCCTAAGCGGGGCTCAAACTCAGAGACAGTGAGACCGTGACCTGAGCTGAAGTCAGACGCCCAACTGACTGAGCCACCCAGGCGCCCCATCTCACATACGATTCTATACTGGGTCCTACGTAATGGTCACTGGCTTACTGACACACGCTTTCTTGACTCTCCTCCTTTCCCCGTTCTATTTCCTGCATGCCCTACTGGCATTTTCCAGGATCCTCCAACCCTCAAATAAACTGTTTGTATCAAATTCTTATCTTAGTGTATTTCTGTGGGAGCCTGAGCTATGATACTCTGAGTTGTCTTCATCATCTCTGGGCCTAACTTAGACCTTCCCAAGACCCCTTCAGCTATATACAAATCACTGATGGTGCCATGGGACCAGCTTAACTGAAAACAAATATGCAGGTCCCATAGCTGACTTGGGGTAAGGGTAAGCTCTTCATTCCCAAGGATTATTAGCAGCCCAGAGCTGCACAAAGAAGAAACCTTGTGAAAGGTCATCATGGGAAAGGAACAGCAGGGTGTGGGTAAGGAGGGGACATCAGGTAGCAGCAAGCACCTGGAGAGCCATAGGGCACCAGTGGGTAGGAACCCCTTCCAGGGAGAAATGGGGAAGAAGAGCAAGCTGAAGTGACCTTGCCTTGCCTCTCCTTTGGCCCTGAAGGTACACTCCGAGACTTCCGCCATTAAGCCCACTGCTGGGCTTCTCTGCTCTCTCTCTCTTAGAGCCTGCCTTGTGTCTGCACCCTTCCCAGCACCTTCTGATCTCTCTCTGTCCCCCGGTTCAAGGTCTGTTCCTAAGCCATTGGCCTTCAGTCCTGGATGCTGTCACAGGGATCATACTCATTCCTGTTCCTGGGGACAGCCCCCAGGTCACTTTAGATCCCTGTGTGCTGAGAGGTTTCCTGTAATTGCCTAGCCATCAACTCCTGTCCTAAAACTGTCAAGGAGCCCTTATCCCTTTGTAGTGAAGGCTATATCCATGTTGAGTTCTTTGAAAGCTACAATCTGCTTTTAAAACATAGTGATCAATCTTGCCCTCTATTCTCAGTCCCCTGCCACTTCAATTATTTGTTTGTTACCAGATCCTTCTTTCTGTTTAAACATTTTCTTCACAGTCTGGCAGGCAGAGCCATCCCCAAGGCACACACCGCAGCGATCCTCCGTGGCATTGGAGCCGATCTCATAGTCACAGCCGACCATCTGTGGGAAAGAGAGGCTGAGGGTGACTGACATAGACACGGAACGTCACACCTGCCTTGGACATCTGACTTCTCCTTTCCCCCTTTGCTCTTGATGAGATCGGGGCTGGGGACAGATGCAAGAACAATAGTTCCTTTTCCTGGTGGCAGCCACAGGAGCATCCAAAGCATCCACAGATGGTAAAGGATGGTTAGAGGGGAAAGAGGTACCCACTGAGTGGGTCTCCAATTTCCCCTGAGTCACAGGCAGAATTGAACACAGTTTCAAAAATTCAACATTGAAAATGTCTTGGAATCAGAGTTGATGGTGTAGTTAAATCCCCTTCTTATGTACAAACCTCATTCCCCTTCCTCTCTAATGAGAGTTTCCAGGGATGATGTAATTATTCCACCTATAATGTTCAGTCCCTTTAGATTTCTCACTGAGGTTATCTCTGCTTCTGTCTGAGCACAGCAGGTGAACCAGCAGCCATGGAGGACGATCTGGCTCAATGCTGAGACTCATTGAGTCCCACGAGGGATGAAATCCGTGCCTGTTGACCATCATCAGATTCTTTTGAGCCTCCTATCACCCCAGCCCCCAATGCACTTTACACATTGCCATATCCCAGCCATCGAGAGCTTTCTCCTGTGAGCTGAGACTGAATTTACCCGTGTGCTCTGGACCTGATCCCTTCCTAGTGTTCTGCCTGCCGGCCCTTCTCAGTCACCTTCTTTCCCTCTCCATGGATCCTTCTCCTCAGCCCATCATTATGGCCCACTCTTTCCCATCCTAAAATCCCCACGCTGGAAAAGACGTGTTCATCATATATCATCAGATACCAAAACATCATGACACTTAGATAGAAAGTGTCTAAGTTGAAGGTCTTTGTTGTTTGCTCTCTGGTAAAAGAGAGAGGGGAAACGGTACCATATTCTACTAGTCAGATTGTTCTTCTCTGTTTGTGAAGAATTGTGCGTAGGTAGTTTTTTTCTTCCTCAAAGACAACTCCCTTTCTTGTTTTATTTATTTTTTTTAAGTGTCTATTTTAATTCCAGCGAGGTAACATACAGCGTTAAATTAGTTTCAGGTGTACAATATAGTGATTCAGCACTTCCATACATCCGCTGGTGCTCATCACATTTCCTGTCATTTTTAAAGCCATCTCAAATCGACTGAAGGGAAGAACAGTTTGGATTTTTAAATATAACCCTCCCTCCACCAGCTGAACAGAGGATTAATGGCCAGTGACAGAAAATAACTCCATTCCTCAAACTAATTGTCTCTTCAGGTCCAAGGACTGTGCTACCTGACCCGTTGGGAAAAAACAAAGTGCTAAGAGATTAAAAAAATTAATCATGCCAATCAAAGTGGGGAAAAAAAGGAATTTTATGGATGTATACTCAGTGGTCACGAATAGAATGTCAACCTTTCACAAGCGATATAGGTACATCAAGCTGGAGGGTCCTGTAATAAGCTGACTTTTACAAATAATACGCCCAGAGACTTTCATTCCTTCACTGATTAGGGAAGAGCCAGGGAAACTTACTCTGAGACAAAGTAATTTTAAAGTGTTCTTTTTAAATCTCTGCCAAACAGGGATAGATAAGAATGTGAAGAATAAAGGAAAGAAAACCAGAAAAACAAACACTTGAGCCCATCTTTCCTCTCCAGCAATATTTGCCTGCATACTTGCGAGTGGAGGTGGGGGTGGGAGATGGGAGACCCAGCAAGTCAAGTGTCTCACAGAATATGTCCCATAGAATATTCAATGCATTCTTGTAGAGTCTTCACCCCAAATACTTCGCCCATCAGCTGCACGCAGCATAATCAACACTGAATAAGTGTGTAACAGAAAGCCTAGGAGGGCATAAGTCAGGCTTCCTTGCTCCACATAAAACACAGGGGATCTCAGGGGAAAATAAACAGACTTCACTGTGATTTTTCATGCCATGTGCTCTGGCAAAAGGGCCCACAACAATATTGTCTTTCTGTCTTCAGTAGAATCAGTGGTGGCTCTCCTGCTGCTAACAAATGTGGACAATGACTCCAGCAAGACTCTCCTCTAATGTGACTCCTAGCATGCCAGACAGCCCCTCCAATGGGCAACATTTTTGAAAAAAAAAAAAAAATGATTTCCCATAATTCCTTTCTTTAAAAAACAGCTTTTGGGGCACTTGGGTGGCTCAGTTAGTTAAGCATCCAACTTTGTCTTGGGTCATGATCTCACGGTTTGTGGGTCCCATCCCCTATGTTGGGCTCTGTGCGGACAGCTCAGAGCCTGGAGCCTGCTTCAGATTCTGTCTTCCTCTCTCTCTGTGCCTCTCTCTCTCTCTTTCTCTCTTTCTCTCTCTCTCAAAAATAAATAAACATTAAAAAACAGTTTCGGGGGGCGCCTGGGTGGCGCAGTCGGTTAAGCGTCCGACTTCAGCCAGGTCACGATCTCGCGGTCCGGGAGTTCGAGCCCCGCGTCGGGCTCTGGGCTGATGGCTCGGAGCCTGGAGCCTGTTTCTGATTCTGTGTCTCCCTCTCTCTCTGCCCCTCCCCGTTCATGCTCTGTCTCTCTCTGTCCCAAAAATAAATAAACGTTGAAAAAAAAATTAAAAAAAAAAAAAAAAAAAAAAAAAAAAACAGTTTCGGGGTGCCTGGGTGGCTCAATGAACGACTCTTGATTTTGGCTCAGGTCATGATCTCACAGTTCCTGGAATTGAGCCCTGCATTGGGCTCTGCACTGACAGTGCAGAACCTGCTCGAAATTCTCTCTCTCCCTCTCTCTCTGCCCCTCCCCTGCTCATGCTGTCTCACACTCTCTCTCTTTCTCAAAATAAATGAATGAATTAATTAAATAAATAAACAGCTTTATTGAGGTATAGCAGATACATAAAATACTGCACGTCTTTAATGTAAACAACTTGGTAAGTTTGGACTTACACGAACACCGCTGAAACTATCCCTATAATCAAGGTAAAAGGCATATCCGTCCCCTCCAAAAGTTTCTTTATGACTCTTTCTGTGCATGTGTGGTAAGAAAACTTGGCCAGTGAGAGGGTCTATCCCCTCAACAGATTTTTAAGTGCACAATATAGCATGTCAACCATAGGCATCACATATACAGCAGATGTCTAGGACTTTGCATCTTGCATAACTGAAACTTCGTACCCATTGAATAGCAACTCTCCATGGTTCCTTCCCCTCAGCCCTTGGCAATCCCTGTTTTATTCTCAGCTTCTATGAGTCTATTTTAGATTCCCACAGTGGAATCATGTGGCATTTGTCCTGTGACTGGTTTGTTTCATTGAGCATCATGTCCTCCAGGCACATGTTGTCACATGTGCAGGTTTCACTTTTTTTTGGAAAGCTGAATAATGTTCCAAAGTATGTATACAACATGGGATAGACCACATTTTCTTTGTCCACTCATCTGTTGATGGACATTTGGGTTGTTTCCATATCTTAGCTGTTGTAAATAATGCTGAGTACATGTGAGTACAGGTATTTCTTCAATATCTTGATTGCAATTCTTTTGGATACACACCCAGAAATCCCATTTCTGGGTCATATGATACTTCTAGTTTTAATTTTTTGAGAAAAGCTCCTCTACACTATTTTCTGTAATGGCTGCATGGTTGTACAATCCCACCAACAGTATACAAGGGTCCCAATTTCTTCACATCCTCATCAATGCTTATCTTTTGTTTTTTTTTTTTATATTAGCCATCCTAACAAGTGTGAGGTGATATCTTATTGTGGGTTTGATTTGTATTTATCTGATGTTTAATGATGTTGAGCACCTTTTCATATACCTGATGGCCATTTATATATCTTCTCTGTAGAAATATCTATTCAAGTCCTTCACTCGTTTCTTAAATTGGTGTATTTGATTTTCTGCTATTGAGTTGTAGGAATTTCTTACACATTTTAGATATTAACCCCTTATTATATGTATGGTTTGCAAATATTTTCTTCCATTCTGTAGGTTGCCTTTTTTTAATGTGTATTTATTTTTTAAAGAGAGATAGGCAGAGTGGGAGAGGGAGAAGGCCAGAAAAAGAGGGAGACACAGAATCTGAAACAGGCTCCAGGCTCTGAGCTGTCAGCACAGAGCCCGACACGGGGCTCAGACTCACTCACAAGCCATGAGATCATGACCTGAGCCAAAGTTGGACATTTAACCCACTGAGCCACCCAGGCGCCCCTATAGGTTGCCTTTTTTATTCTGATTATTACGTCCTTTCTGTGCAGAAGCATATCATCAATTCTTAACCCCATCGTTTGGGCTGAGGAGCGTACTATCTTGAATGTTATTTAGGGAAATCAGGTTCCAGTCTTTCTTTCACCCACACCTCCAGCCCTATTAGGGAATAAATAAAACGTATTCTTAGCAATTCTCATATTTTGCTTAGGGTTAACACTGTTTTACTTTGTAAATTCTCAAGTGACTGAGAACTGAAATACCAATTTCAATTACCTAATCCACCTGGAATGTCATCACTGCTTTCTACAGCCCTGTGGCAAAGGTAGAGATTGAAAGTATGTCTGGTTCTAAGATGAGACTCATTCCCAGCCTGTGAAACTTTAAGTGTAATGACAGGGCAGATTTAGGCTTAACTGAAAAGAACAGGTAAACGATACTGTCATTTGATAAAAGGGACAGTAGCAATAATGCTGTCCTCATCATAATTTTTGAGGGTTAGGATCTGGCATTCTGGAGGGAGATCTGGCCCGGAGAAACTGATATGGGGATGTTCAGCAAATCGCTGAAACGGCCAAAATGGCCTTAAGAGATACCAAAGAAAGTTCAGGACAGTTACTGAGAGAAATGAGAGAGGGAGATCACTGAGGACAGGTAGAAAGACTGTCAGGTAAGGTGGAAGACTCGGTTGGGATTGAAGACCACTGACTTTAAGGCACAAAGTCACAAAGCTGAATGTTTATTATAAGAAGTGTTCAGTAGTCTGAGGGCTCTTGGGCGGTTCAGTTGGTTAAATGTCCGACTCTTGATTTCAACTCAGATCATGATCTCGTGGTTCATGAGTTTGAAAGCTCCACACTTGGGATCTTCTTTCCTTCTCTCTCTGACCCTCTGCCACGTTCTCTCCCTCTCTCTCTCAAAATAAATAAATAAACTTAACAAAAAGAAGTGTGCAGTAGTCTGATCATAACAGCAAAGCAGGGTTGAACAGATCCAAGGTCCAGGGTGAAAGGTGATGAAAACCTAAGAGGAGAAGTCTCAGGATTTCTGATGTGATAGATCAGGAGACCTGGGCTGCTTAGGAAGGAAGTTAACCCAGAGCTATACTGACTGGGAGAGAGGAGAGAGAAGAAACTGAAGTTCAAGAACTGGTTCCCAGGAGAAACGGGTGAGAACTGAAGACTAGCAGACTGCCCTAAGATAGTAGGTGAAGCTGCACAGCCAGGCAAGCTGGGGGCAAGCATGGGACCATCTGCCCCTGTGTTTAAAAGCTTATTCCCTGTCATGCCTGTGATTAAAGACAGGAGATACTCTGAAAGGTCTAAGTTTAAATTCATATCTTTGATAAACAAGTTGAAAAGTTTACTGTAAGCTTTTTAAAAATGGGGAAGGGGCTGGGGTGCCCAGGTGGTTCAGTTGGCTAAGAGTGCCACTCTTGATTTTGGCTCAGGTCATAAGCTCACAGTTCATGGGATTGAGCCCTGGTTCAGGCTCTGTGCTGATAGCACGGAGCCTGCTTGGGATTCTGTCTCCCCTTCTCTGCTCCATCCCCGCTCATGCTCTCAATCTCTCTCTCAAAACAAATTAATAAAAACTTTAAAAACAATGGGGAAGAGGCATAGATAGTTACTCCTAGAACAAACTCAGTCCTGATCAAGACTAATTCCCTTAACAAGAGAATCTGCAAATCTAACAGGCCAAAATGCTGGCAAATATTATAACTGCAAAATAGCTGAATATATGAATATAAGCAAACATTTTCATATTCACAAAGAAGATAGATTATTAGATCCTGCATATATTTTTTTCTGATGGTGTATCTTTTTATTTCAATATATGTTCAATTCCCTTTGAAAAAACTGTACTAATTAAATAAGAAGACTAACAGAGCTGAAAATAACCACAACCTGGATCCTTGAAAGGTAAATTGTTTTCAGGCTATTAAGGTAAATTTGATTTGACATAATCTTTCAGCTTAAAAACTTGTTCAGTGTGGTAAAGAGAGAAAGTGGGTAATTATAGCTTCTAAAAAGCCCTGATTTCCAAAAAGAGTAAGTCAAGCTGAGAGACTCCAGCTTATTCTATTAAGTTGATTTAATTGGTGTCAAGAGAGGCACCCAAGACCCCTTATGTTTTGTTCAAAACACCTGTGTTTCCCATGCTGTGCTAAAGATATTGTCTCTCTGCTTGCAAACATGTTTAGGTCTAACAGATAATTTTAGTATCACATTCATTCTTGGTGATTAAAGTTCTCAGCCCTAGCTCCATGTGGCAATTACCTGGGAAGTTTTTAAAATGTCAATGCCCAGGCCCTGAATCCCAGAGGTTCTGAATCATTAGGTTTGAGATAGAGTCCAGACATCACCAGTTTTTAAAGGGTCTTCAGATGATTCTAACAGGCAGCCAAGCCTGAGAACCACTGCTTTGGACTGTGATGGGGCTGTTTTGGCCCGAATTAGCTAGACAAACCTTTCCCCACCGTGGAGAATAGATCTAACCCAAATACATATATATTGATTACTTTTGGCTCTTTGTAGCTACAGTGATAATTCCTAATGAGTGTGAAGAAGAATTTCACGTGAGCTCCTTCTAATGTAGAGTATGACTGTGACTTCCTTTCAGCTCATTCATTCCTGGGAATCATCATGTTGCCTCTTATGCTTTGGTCCCTACTGGAATAAGTCAATAGGCAACTTGAAGGTAATAAATGTATCTTCCCAGGGTCCTGAACATTCATGGGCAAGGGCTTTCCATGGCAGCAACTCAGTCCAGTGGGGAAAAAAATTATGATAAACATTGGCAAAAACAAATAAAATGCATTAAGAGTTTATTGTGTGTCAGGGGCTCTGTTAGGGGCTTAAAATATATGTCTTTATTCTTCTTGACACCAACGAGGAGGATACATTAACATCCCAATTTTAAGAAAAAGAAACTGAGTCTCAGCAAAATGTATAGAGTTATACAGCTGGTAAACAATTGTATTAAGTTCATATTCTGGAGCCTGAGAACTAAGCATTATGCTTTACGAACAGTTAATTAGAACTTTATAACTTTTCTTTCACTGATTAAAAACACTTTTTCTTTAAACTGAGATTTATGCCTGGGTGTTGGATCACAAAACTTGTTCATCAGTTCTTTGCAAACCAGACCACGAGTACTGGAAAGGAATTCTTCAATGGTTGCACAGATAAAAGCATTGACGAATCAGGTCTCAGTAATTTATAAAAAGGTGGAGTTGAAAATGGAGTCAGTGTGGAAAAGTTAAACAGAAATCAGAAAACTTGGCTTAAAACTACCTGTCATGCCATGTCTCTTCCTGAGAAGACCATGTTGGCAATCAATGTAAAAATACTTTTTGCAAAACACTATACAAACCATTGTTAATTTCAGCTTTTTTCTCAAGTTTAAGTACTCTGCTGGCAAGTAACCAATGAATAATTAAAAAAAATTTTTTTTGATGTTTGTTTCTGAGAGAGAGAGAGGGAGACAGAATCTGAAGCAGGCTCCAGGCTCTGAGCTGTCAGCACAGAGCCTGATGCAGGGTTCAAACCCATGAACCTCGAGATCATGACCTGGATCGAAGTCAGCTGCTTAACTGACCAAGCCACCCAAGCACCACCAAATGAATGATTTAATACCAGTCAAATAATCAGGGTTGCCTTTCCTAATAATTCTTCCTTGAATTTGGTTCTTCTTCGGTTTGGCCTTACTCTATGCCTAAAATAATATCACAGAGCACATCAACAAGTCAAGTAAGAAAGACCACAGCAGGAGGGAAAGTTTTCAATTTCAAATTGTTGACCCTGATGAACAAGTCTTATCTCATAGACCATATATAAAAGCCAGACCACGTGCAATTATCATGAAAGCAAAAGCTTAGAACATCTGACTTCCTAAGTTAATAAAAATCATGATTTTATAAAGTTGTAGATGAAGGAAACATACCCAATACCTTACATATGCCATTAATACAGACATTTCTGCTGTTGCCGCCTTCAAAGCAAGGGGTACCATCAATGACAGCATCCAGCATTTTCTCGGAAAACTGGCCATCTATGGGTCGGCAGTAGAGCTCACAAGGATGTGCTGGAGTGAAAAAGAAACAAATCCTTGCAAGTTAGCATTTTTAGATCAGCACCCTTCCTGCAGGATTCTTTTGTACATACAATGCCCCCAAGTGTTGTTCATCTGGAAATTCCCATCTTTCACCTTTCTGTGATGCATGCTGAAATGTAGGCTTTTTTCTTTATCCAGTTAAAGGGTTTTACAACAAATTAAATTGGGAAGATTGTAACCCTTCGTTACAAATGATGAGATCTTTTTCAATCCAACACTGAACTGGGCTTGTAAAAATAAGATGCAGCGCTTCTGGGGTTAACCTAGAAGAGAAATATTAGCAACCAGTGCTGTATGACTCCAGACAAGCATGACACCTGCCCACTACTTGCTGCGAAGTAAGTGGACCTCTAGGGAAGAGGGAGTCCCCTCCTAGTGGGCCAACTCCGTACTTAACCCCACTGCCACAATCATGACCCCACCCCCAACAAATATCTTTCTTTATTCTCCTCAAATCCGAGAAGTCCTTGGACACAGATTTATAGACACAGAGAAACAGAAAGTCTGATTTTTTTTTATGCTGAAGCTGAAGCCTATAATGGTTTACCATAATGGTCTATCTCATCATGCTGGGTCCTACAATGAACGCATTCTAGGGTTGATTTTTCTACTCCCTTGTGAATGTGGATAGGGTGATTTCCAGCACAGGAATGGTTCTAAAGATTTACTAAATAAAATATGTACCTATACACAGGTAACTACAGTTATCAGAAAGATAGATAACTTTTAAAATATAAATTGCCTTAAGATTTTTAATAGGTAATACATGTATAAGAAGAATTCAAATAGCAATTTTCTTTTGAATATTACATCTTGTTTTTTTTTTTTCAAATGAAAAACTTGAGAATTTCTTTTTCAGAAAGGTCTTTCTAGGGGGTAACCCCTTTTGGAGCTGTTTATTGGGGGAAATCCTTGAATTTCCTCATGGTAAGACCAGCTTAGGGCTCAATGAGACCACCCACAGGCCATGGACCCAACCCATGTTGGATGGGTGGCAAATGCAAAGCCAGAGTGCTCAACCCTAGGCATGGCTTCTTGAGGATGCAATGATCCATTTGGTAAAGAAATAAAAGTATAACTAAGAGCAGAAACTCAAACACTGAAACCCTGGGCAAACTTTAGACAGAGGTCAAAAGCATCTGTTTAAAGCTTAAAGGAAAAGGGTAAAAGTAGATAAAGAACAACTAACTCATTTTATACAACGAGCAGTGGATAGGTGGTCTGAGAAAATGAACAAAGTCCAAATGAGTTGGAGAGATCACAGCACAAAGTGCCAATGGAAAAGGGCCAGAAAACTCCCGGGACCAGGCAAGACATGGGATTATTGTAAACTTCATTCCTGGCAGTGTGATTAGCTCTGTCACTGCCTGAACTGAGCCAGCAGTATTTACAGGGAGCCTCCTGGGCACAGCTCTGCCCTCCTAGAGACAGAAACATCCATCCAGGTGTGCTGAGTCGAGGGAATCATTTCATGAAACACAGGGCTATTAAGTACTTGACAAGTTAAGTAGAAGGATGGAGGCAGGGAAACACTTTTAAATAAGACTTTGATTTGAGCTTTAGAATTTGGATTTGAGATTTTGTACTCGGACACATAAAGCAAAAATAGAAAGCAGCCCTGAAGAGTTCTGGAGCTTTTCTATAGGAGTTACCTGTTTCAGCCTGCAGGGAAGGCCTGGGACCAGAGAGGGGCCTACGGCACAAAATTTAAGAAGGCACTCACTGCCAGGAGCTGCATAAATGGGTCCTCCTAGCAAGTACATCTCCATCCAGTGGCAGATGTTGAATGAATTCCAGAACGCTAAAGTTCCAATGTTTGCCTTCATTTTACTCTCCCTGGACTTGTGCTATTTGACCCCTTCCCCAGGGGAAAACACTACTAGGGCCTTTCACTACTCTTATTTATATAGTGAGGTAAGAGGAATTTTGCTTAATAAAATAATAGCCAATATATCACTTGCACACTATTTCCCAGATCTGGTTGTTCTTCATAGTGGTTATCTATCTCATTTTAACAACCACAATCACCCTATGGTGTTAGTTCTTTTATTGTCACCATTTCATAGATGAGGCATAGAAAGATTAAGTTTCCCAAGACCTCACAGCTTGAGTGGCAGAGCTAACCCTGGTGGTTTAACTTAGAGCCCACTTTACTAGCCTCTAACCTACAGACACAGAATTTTCTTGAACAAAAGACAAATGTCTTTGATAAGCTCTCTAAAGAATCCGCTCTTCATGTTATTAGGCAATGCATTTATTTACAGATCAAATCTGAGGTGCCAACTTGGTAGAATTCCAATGGGGCTCCATTTTAATATCTTCTCACAGGGCTTAAATATAGTGAGAATCATCAGACTCTGGAGCCATTTATTTCTACAGAGAGTATATGTAAAAGTTTTAGCTCATGAAAGTCCAATATTTCCTTGAGAAAGTTACTTAAGCTTTCTGTGACTCTGTTTCTTCATCCAAAAAAATGGGGGTAATAATACCTACCTTGCAATGTAACTGTGAGGGTTAAGATGGAGATTGTATGTTGAGCGCTCAGCGTGGTGCTTGATATACAGTAAGTGCTTAACAAATGGCAGTTATTATTGTTGTTTTCACCTCCTTATCATGAACTCGATAAATTCTAAAGGTCCTTGCAGCTGCCCCACCACACTCTGCTATCTACCATGATAGCAGCCAAAAGACACATATTTTGCAATGCTGATTCAACTCTCATTCCCACACAGACAAATCTTTCCTGAAATAGCCTCTTCTCCTTAGATTATTCTGTTATGCCACTTCTAATCAATGCTGCACTAAATTCACACTTCGTTTCACTATATTCTAAACACTTTCTGTCTTGTTGCTGTAGCATAAAAAATTCTAGATCCTGCTAGGTCAGTAAGTGGCTCCATGATCTCCCTTTACTGCCACTGTGGACCTGGTTCCAAGATGTTCCACTCATACAATAACTACTGAGGTCCTCACAGCTCTACACTTCCAAGACTATGGATTTTACAAGCTCCTCAACCTAACTGCCATACCCTCAAGGGCACTTCAGTCATTTGTGCATTGACCAGCTACTGCTGGCCAGCTAGCAGCTAGATCCACAGGGATTCAGCTCTCAGCCCTGACTCTCACATCTTGCCCAAGTCCTTCTTGGTCTCTAGTCTGCACTGAGGGGATTGGCAGAGAATAATATTAAAATCTCCAATGAGGTATTTGGCATTGAGTGGTTATTTAAATGTGATTATTATCACTAACCTTTCCTAGTGAATACTAGCAGGGCATTATACCTAGAAAAGGCTCTTAACCCATGTTTACTAATTAACAAACATGATAAAGGTCAACACTGTTAGGGAGAAAATTTTGGACCAAGTGGCAAAGAGATCATCTCAATCCTGACAGATAATCAACTCAGTCATAAAAATGAACCTTGACCTTAGTGATAGAAGTAAAGGATGCGGGGGTGCCTGGGTGGCTCAGGTGGTCAAGCGTCTGACTTTGGCTCAAGTCATGATGTTGCAGTTCACAAGTTCAATCCCTGCATCTGGCTCCACACTGACAGTAGAGAGCCTACTTGGAATTCTCTCTCCCTCGCTCTCTGCCCCTCCCCTGCTTGTGCTCTCTCTAAATAAATAAATAAATAAATAAATAAATAAATAAATAAACTTAAAAAAAGTCAAGGATATTCATTGAAATAATGAAAGTTTTATCCAGAAATAAAAGGACAAATCAATTTAGTTGTATTTACATAATGTTGTTTAGTATATTCACAGACTCACTGTGCAGTACTATGAGAAATGAGGTAAGCTGTAATGCCATGACGTTCTGCTAATGAATAAAAAAAGCTGCAGAATTGGCAAAGTATGATTTCATTTGTGTGCAAACTAAAACCAGCTGTTAACAATGGTTGCCTCTAAGGAGTAAGTTAAGCATGATGGGATGAGAATTTATTTTTATTTCATTCTATTATGCACATTTGCATTTTTTTTTAAAGAAGCATACGTTCCTTTCAAAAATAATGTCTTGGCTCTCAGACAGCAACACTAGAAAGGTCTCTTTTCTTCTGTGATAATAACACATATCCATGGAGAGAGGCCCTCATTTCCAGACTTCACTTTGCTTGTGCAGTATGGGATTACTACATCCTTCAAGGTTAGACAGGCTAGCTGACATATACTTCATGTAAGAAACACAAATTTCTCCTGAATCTAAGCACAGTGGTCTCTGGTGTCTTAGGAATAATCTAATAAATAATCTTTGGGCAACAACAATAATAGCTTACAGACCCACCTGTCCTGACTCCCCAAACTTGCATACCTATGACCCATAGGGGTGCCTAAGGCCTGAAAGAGCCCTGTACTTGAAAGCAGCCTTTGGGAATTGAAGGTTCAAGGCTATTTCAGCATTTTAGAAGACTGAACCCCACTTCCCTGTCTTCTCCACTGGCCTTTGTTTTTCATGGCACTCTGGGCATGTCATTAGGTGATCTATGATAGGGCTCTGCAGAAGGAGACAGGGGTAGCAATAGACACTCTTAGTTCTCAATGGTCATCATGAGTCTCAGGAGTCTGTCCCAGACATCAGCCTCAATGATTCTGTAACATCCACAGAGTATTTTCACTGTCTCATGTTTATTCATCTGTCCTGACACATCCCTTTGTCTGAATCATAGATTTTTTTTTTCTCTACCTTTCAAGAGCTTTCAAATCTATTTATAATTCAGCTAAGTGAAACCTCTCAGACTCATTTACTGGTGAACTCTCACCCTTACACTGATTAATCCTCTCAAAGGAAGCTTAGGTAGCTGAATGAACTTATTGAATCAAAGGTTGCATTTTCAATTCTGGTGAAACAGGATGGCTCAACATTTTTGGATAATGATGTTAAAGAGTGGTCATTAGAAGTGAAAGATAAAACTTGGTATGAAGGATAAAAAATATTTCTTAGGTCAAGGAATACTTTTGACGCATTTCACATTC